TTCGAAATGGCCCGACTGGCGGCCATTTTGTTAAAGAATTCAGTTCTGGATTCGTATCCAGACATGTCTGGATTGATCAAGTTCAAACTTCACACACACATGGTACATCATGTCACAAATAGAGATGTGCATTTGTTTCATGATCTGCTTAACAATAGTGGAATGATGGCCATTTTAAGGCCGAAAATGCATCAAAATCACGTATTTTCACAATTCCAGAACCGGATCTCAGTCATGCATGGATGGATTTTGTTCAGATTTAGCACAATGTGTTGTACATATGCAGGTGCATTTCGGTCATGATCTGCTTTGAATGTATATGTCACTCAAATATGAACGGAACGGGGACGTGTCATTGACAATGACTTGTTGCTTTAATTTCAACCTAAATATTTACATTGCAAATTCTATTTGCAACAGTTGAAGTATTTTTGCCCATGGCAAATTTGAGGGTAAACATGTTGCACCAGTAGACGCAAATTTTATATGACAAATATGAGTGTTAAAAAGAATTACTATCTGTAAATTAGAATGTGTTCAGGTAAAGGCAAAAAAACAACAAAATGTATTTGTTTAGTGTCGCTGTGGAGAATATTGTGAGGGGCAAATCAAATTGATTATCCAAAATTGTTGTAACATTTGTCTGAGGTATATGCAACATTTACACACCAGTATTGGAGCCGAACTGCTGCTCCTTCCACTCATTAACAGGACATCATCTCAAATGCGTTTTCACAATTGGGCTGAAAAAGATTTTGATGTTGTGCTTGTGTTGTGGTTTCTTTACATGGCACGATGCATATCACAATGACAGAGAAAGTCAATGGAGAATATACTCTCCTTGAGAAACAGGTTCACTCAAAGTGGAGCAAGGATGTAGCGAATGATTGTTCCCCAACCTCATCGTTGAAATGGCTCTTATTTTATTTTTGTGTTATTGGTGCTACCATTGTCCACACAGTGTAACAACATACACGTAGTTGTCATTGGTTGGGACAAGATAGTTATATGTATGCATAATTTAGGCCCGATGCATATTTGTATCAGAGCTCAACACC